AATTTTCCTTTATGTTGTGGCTTTGCCCCGGCATGACGGTGTGCAAAGCTGAGTCGCGATGGCCGCTCAGGGAAAGGGAACTCAGAAACCGGGCATGCCAGCAAAAGGGTAAGAATTTCTTACCAGTCAGATTTTGGCCTTCTTTCTCTCTGTGAAAATGGTTGAATGAATGGCAAAACCCATTGTTTATCTCCTTCTTGTTTTATGTTCCTTGGGAGCTTGACCTTGTAACGACGTGGCAGTCCTTTCTCTTGGTCTCTGCCTTCCAGAGAACAGGAATTTTAGGGTTTATGTCATAGTTAGCTCTAAAAATTACTTTGAGTAGTTAGAAGCCTTTGCAAGCTCAAAATTAACTACTCTTGATTCCCTCTGGGAAGAGTAATGAAGACTGCCCTATGATGTAACTCAGTAGTTAAGGCTTTGCCCTCACACATTGATGATATGGGTTCATTCTCTGCCTATGCAGTAAGTTGTTTCTAGTTTAATATCTGCATGACCTTGTCTAGTCTCTTTTCCTCCATGTATTATCTTAAATTTTCCTTTCTCTGAGCAACTGGAAGGTTACGTTTGGTAAAGTTCAAAAGGCAGAAATAATCAGCTGTTTGACCCGGCTAAAATAAGATAATAAAAATTTTAAAAGAACTTTATTAAAGACTGCTATGGTTAAAAGTCAGCTTAATATGGCTGGGTGTGGTGGCTCATGCCTGTAATCCCAGCACTTTGGGATGTTGAGGCAGGCGGATCATCAGGAGTTCTAGACCAGCCTGACCAACACAGTAAAACCCGGCTCTACTAAAAACGCAAAATTAACCAGGTGTGGTGGTGCACACCTGTAATCCCAGCTACTTGGGATGCTGAGGCAGGAGAATCACTTGAACCTGGGAGGAGGAGTTTGCAGTGAGCCGAGATCGTGCCATTGCACTCTAGCCTTGGGTAACAAGAGCGAAATTCTGTCTCAAAAAAAAAAGTAAAAAAGTCAGCTTAATTAAAATTGGATATTCAAGCTCTAATTGCCTGGACTCCTTGGGAAAAACAGGAGGCACCAGAAATCACTTTCTGGCCCTGTTCTTCCAAAGGCTTCACCTGAAAGCCAATAACTAGTTAAGAAACTAAAAACTGCAAATGAGAAATCTTACAACAACCATAGTAATCTTCTGTCTGCATGTCTGTATAATTATATATGTGTTGTATGTAATGTTTATATCAAAGAGCTCTGATTAATTGGCCAAACAAAAATAAGCACTTAAATATTTCAGAAGTAAAATAAAAACAGCTTTAAATATTATTGATAAAATAAATACATTTTGTCCAAATTATGCAAGTCACATACTCGGTTTGCTAAATGCTTTAAGGTCATAAACTGCTTTGGCTTTTGAAAATTGTTCAACTTATTTTGGAGACATTAACTTCTAAATAAGGCCTGGTGATATATGGAATTAGCCAAGCCCTGTAGCTATGCCAAAAAGCTTATAAAGAAAGGAGATTTTATATAAGAAAGGACGCTGTATGGCAAATCCTTGTTCTAAAGTAAAATAACTGGTTGTTTAAAAAGAAGGATGTTTAGGGCAAGTCAGAAAGCCCAAAAATGTCTGTGTAAGTCATGAAAGAATTTATGAAAATAAATTTATGCCAGAAATACTGTACAATGTAAAGGTGATTAGGCCTCTTAAATGCTTTATAACATGCCACTATGACTCTTAACTGTACAGCTTGCCTGTTTTACAGCTAGGGCCTGGAACACGAGGAGTTAGATGATGGAAAGAATCAGACCTTATGTGAGATTTCGTCACCACCGGGCCTGCCTTACAAGAGCTCCTGAAGGAAGCACTAAACATAGAAAGGAACAACCAGTACCAGCCACTCCAAAAACGTACCACATGGTAAAGAGCATAGACACAATGAAGAAATTGCATCAACTAATGGTCAAAACAACCAGCTAGCATCAAAATGGCAGGATCAGATTCACTCAAAACAATATTAACCTTAAGTGTAAATGGGCTAAATGCCCCAATCAAAAGACACAGACAGGCGAATTGGATAAAAAGTCAAAACCCATCAGTGTGCTGTATCCAGGAAACCCATCTCACATGCAAGGATACATGCAGGCTCAAAATAAATGGATAGAGGAAGATTCCCCAAACAAATGGAGAGGAAAAAAAAAAAAAAAAAAAAAAGCAGGAGTTGCAATCCTAGTCTCTGATAAAAAAGACTTTAAACCAAGAAAGATCAAAAGAGACAAAGAAGGACATTATATAATGGTAAAAGGATCAATGCAGCAAGAAGGGCTAATGATCCTAAATATATACACATCCAATACAGGAGCACCCAGATATGTAAAGCAAGTTCTTAACGACCTACAAAGAGACTTAGACTCCCAGACAATAATAGTGGGAAACATTAATAATCCACTGTCAGTATTAGACAGATCAATAAGACAGAAAATTAACAAGGATATCCAAGACTTGAACTCAGATCTGGACCTAGAAAACCTAATCAGAACTCTCCACCCCAAATCCACAGAGTATTCTTCTCAGCACCACATCGTACCTAAAATTGACCACATAACTGGAAGTAAATCACTCCTCAGCAAATGCAAAAGAATGGAAATGATAACAGTCTCTCAGACCACAGTGCAATCAAATTAGAAATCAGGATTAAGAAACTAACTCAGAACTGCACAATTTCATGGAAACTGAACAACTGGCTCTTGAATGTTGACTGGATAAACAAGGAAATGAAGGCAGAAATAAAGATGTTCTTTAAAACCAACAAGAATGAAGACACAACATACCAGAATCTCTGGGACACATTTAAAACAGTGTCTAGAGGGAATTTTATGGCATTAAATGCCCACATGAGAAGCAAGGAAAGATCTAAAATGACACCCTATCATCAAAATTGAAAGAGCTAGAGGAGCAAGATTAAAAAACAAAACAAAACAAAACCAAAGCTAGCAGAAGACAAGAAATAACTAAGATCGGAGCAGAACTGAAGGAGATAGAGACACAAAAAACCCTTCAAAAAAATCAATAAATCCAGGAGCTGGTTTTTTGAAAAGATCAACAAAATAGACCACTAGCCGGATTAATAAAAAAGAAAAGAGAGAAGAATCAAATAGATGCAATAAAAAATGGTAAAGGGGATATCACCACCGATTCCAGAGAAATACAAACTGCCATCAGAGATTACTACAAACAACTCTATGCACATAAACCAGTAAACCTGAAAGAAATGGATAAATCCCTGGACACTTGCACCCTCCCAAGCCTAAACCAGGAAGAAGTCGAAACCCTGACTAGACCAATAACAACAGCTGAAGTTGAGGCAGTAATTAATAGCCTACCACCCCAAAAAAGCCCAGGTCAAGATGGGTTCACAGCTGAATTCTACCAGACATACAAAGAGGAGCTGGTACCATTCCTTCTGAAACTATTCCACACAATCCAAAAAGAGGGAATCCTTCCCATATCATTTTATGAGACCAACATCATCCTGATACCAAAACCCAGCAGAGACCCAACAAGAAAAGAAAATTTCAGGCCAATATCCATGGTAGACATAGATGCAAAAATCCTCAATAAAATACTGGCAAACTGATTGCAAAAGCACATCAAAAAGTTTATCCATCACAATCAAGTAGACTTCATCCTGGGGATGCAAGGCTGGTTCGACATACGCAAGTCTATAAACATTATAAACATAATTCACCACATAAACAGAACCAAAGGCAAAAACCACACGATTATCTCAATAGATGCAGAGAAGCCCTTTGACAAAATTCAACAGCATTTATGCTAAAAACTCTCAATAAGCTAGATATTAATAAAATGCATCTCAAAATAATCAAAGCTATTTATGACAAACCCACCGCCAATATCATACTAAATGGGCAAAAACTAGAAGCATTCCCTTTGAAATCTGGCACTAGACAAGGATGCCCTCTCTCACCACTTATATTCAATATAGTATTGGAAGTTCTAGCCAGAGCAATCAGGCAAGAAAAAGAAATAAAGGGTGTTCAATTAGGAAAGGAGGAAGTCAAATTGTCTCTATTTGCAGATGACATGATTGTATATTTAAAAGACCCCATCATCTCAGCCCAAAATCTCCTTAAACTGATAAGCAACTTCAGCAAAGTCTCAGGATACAAAATCAATGTGCAAAAATCACAGGCATTCCTATACACCAATAACAGACTTAAAGAGAACCAAATCAAGAATGAACTACCATTTAAGATTGCTACAAAGAGAATAAAATACCTAGGAATACAACTAACAAAGGATGTGAAGGACCTCTTCAAGGAGAACTACAAACCACTGCTCAAGGAAATAAGAGAGGACACAAACAGATGGAGAAACATTTCATGCTCATGGTTAGGAAGAATCAATACCATGAAAATGGCCATACTGCCCAAAGTAATTTATAGGTTCAATGCTATCCCCATCAAGCTACCTATGACCCTCTTCACAGAACTGGAAAAAACCACCTTAAACTTCATATGGAACCAAAAGAGCCCACACAGCCAAGTCAATTCTAAGCAAAAAGAACAAAGCTGGAGGCATCATGCTACCTGACTGCAAACTATACTACAAGGCTGCAGAAATCAAAACAGCATGGTACTGGTACCAAAACAGAGATATAGACCAAACTAATTAAACTGAATAAACTTGTAAAATGTTATTAAAAACTAACTTTAACATTAAAAATACACCAATGGAAATATAAAATTTGATTTTCTCTTTTAAAAATGATTTTTATGTGATATTAAAAGATAATGAAAGGATTTTGTTTAAAACCTTATAAATAAACTACAGTCCCGGCCGCGATCGCTATGGTAGCGGCGTCTTCGTGGGCCCAGCCACCACGGTCCTGCCCAGGCGCAGCTGCCTCAACAGCTGCCCCTCTTGCAGCCTCTCGGGCATGAACTGAGCCTTCTGTTGCCTCCCGCTACCCTACCTGCTGTTGCCCTTGCATCTCGACTCTGGGCCCCCGCTGGGAACATGCCTCTGGCTTCCTACTGCTACCTGCGGGTCGTGGGCAAGGTGACACTTGTGAAGCACCGGCGGGTTGGCAAGCAGTACGTCATCAAAAAACTGAACCTCTGAAATGCCTCTAGCCGAGAGCGGCAAGCTGCTGAACAGGAAGCCCAGCTCTTGTCTCAGCTGAAGCATCCCAACATTGTCACCTACAAGGAGTCCTGGGAGGGAGGAGACGGTCTACTCTACATTGTCATGGGCTTCTGTGAAGGAGGTGATCTGTACCGAAAGCTCAAGGAACAGAAAAGGCAGCTTCTGCCTGAGAATCAGGTGGTAGAGTGGTTTGTACAGATCGCCATGGCTTTACAGTATTTACATGAAAAGCACATCCTTCATCGAGATCTGAAAACTCAAAATGTCTTCCTAACAAGAACAAACATCATCAAAGTGGGGGACCCAGGAATTGCCCGCGTGTTAGAGAACCACTGCGACATGGCTAGCACCCTCATTGGCACACCCTACTACATGAGCCCTGAATTGTTCTCAAACAAACCCTACAACTCTAAGTCTGATGTTTGGGCTCTAGGATGCCGTGTCTATGAAATGGCTACCCTGAAGCATGCTTTCAATGCAAAAGATATGAATTCTTTAGTTTATCAGATTATTGAAGGAAAGCTGCTGCCAATGCCAAGAGATTATAGCCCAGAGCTGGCAGAACTGATAAGAACAATGCTGAGCAAAAGGCCTGAAGAAAGGCCGTCTGTGAGGAGCATCCTGAGGCAGCCTTATATCAAGCGCCAAATCTCCTCCTTTTTGGAGGCCACAAAGACAAAAATGTCCAAAAATAACATTAAGAATGGTGACTCTAAATCCAAGCCTGTTGCTATAGTGGTTTCCAGAAAGGCAGAATCAAATCATGAAGTAATCCACCCTCAACCACACTCTTCTGAAGGTTCTCAGACATATAGAACAGTTGAAGGCAAATGTTTGTCTGAGGAGAAACCCAGGGTCTCTGGTCCCTTGAAGTCACCTGCCAGCCTGAAAGCCCATACCTGCAAACAGGACTTGAGCAATACCACAGAACTAGCCACAATCAGTAGGGTAAATATTGACATCTTACCTGCAAAAGGGAAGGACTCAGTGAGCGATGGCTTTGTTCAGGAGAATCAGCCAACACTCTTGGATGCCTCTAATGAGTTAGGAGGTAAATGCAGTATTTCTCAAGTGGAAAAGGAGATGCCGCAGGACAACACTAAATCCAGTGCTCAGCCTGAAAACCTGATTCCCATGTGGTCCTCTGACATCACTGGGGGAAAAGAATGAACCATTGAAGGCTCTGCAGCCCCTAATCAAAGAACAAAAGCCAAAAGACCAGGATCAAGTTGCTGGTGAATATATTATAGAAAAACAGGGCAGAATCCACCCGGATTTACAGCCACACAACTCTCGATCTGAACCTTCCCTGCCGCGACAGCAATGGCAGAAGAGAGAACAGACTGAGCACAGAGGGGAAAAGAGACAGGATCGACCATTATCAGCCAGAGAGAGGAGGCGACTAAAGCAGTCACAGGAAGAAATGTTCTCTTCAGGTCCTTCAGTGAGGAAAGCTTCTCCGAGTGCAGCAGGGCCAGGGAAACTCCAGGAGGAAGACCAGCCCATGCCTGCCCGACGGCTCTCTTCTGACTGCAGCGTCACTCAGGAAAGGAAATTGATTCATTGTCTCCCTGAAGATGAGTTAAGTTCTTTTACAAGTTCAACTGATAAGTCAGATGAGGATTCCAAGGAAGGGAAAGATCAGACAAATGAAATTAATGCCTTGGTACCATTGATGACTCAGACCCTGAAACTGGATTCTAAAGAGAGCTGTGAAGATCTCCTAGTAGCAAATCCAGTGTCCGAATTCAGACTTCATCGGAAATTTCGGGACACACTGATGCTTCATGGGAAAGTTGCAGAAGAGGCAGAGGAACTCCATTTTAAAGAGCTACCTTCAGCTATCGTGCTAGGTTCTGAAAAGATCAGGAGACTAGTTGAAGTCTTGAGAGCTGATGTAATTTGGGGCCTGGGAGTTCAGCTTTTAGAGCAGGTGTATGATCTTTTGGAAGAGGAAGATGAATTCGAGAGAGAGGTACATTTGCAGGAGCACATGGGTGAAAAGTGTACAACTTACAGTGTGAAAGCTCGCCAGTTGAAATTTTTTGAAGAAAACGTGAATTTTTGAGCATTTGTCCTAATCTGCTGCCAGAATTAAAGACCTATTTTCAGAGGTTTTCAACTTAAAAAACAAGGGCGAACAGTTATTTGGAGGCCATTCATTACTGTTTTATATCTCTTTGGAGTTTTCTTACAGAAAAGAAATTGGACAGAACAGAGTAATATGAAGCAGGATCACAAAAGAAAAAACACCTTTGACTTTCATATTCTATTTATGAGGACACATCTGTCGTTTGTTTGATTACTGTTTACTGAGCCTTAAACCACCAAGTTTATAGCTACAATTTTATTTTTCTAAGGTACTAATTAGCTTAAACACAGGGCTATAAAGTACTGGATTGAAAATTTTATATTGTAATATAGAGATAAAAGCGATAGGAGAAACAAATTACTTATGTCCAGTCATTATACCTGCTATTGTTAATAACCTTAGTGAGTAGTTGATAAATTATAAAATTTTTAAAAGTCACATCACAGTTCTGGAAATAGATTTAAAGAATATGAAGTTCTAGCTAGTACCTGAGCAACTGAATTTCTTTTCTACACATTGATGGACTTTTAGTATTTTATTTTCAGCCGGGCGCGGTGGCTCAAGCCTGTAATCCCAGCACTTTGGGAGGCCGAGGCGGGTGGATCACAAGATCAAGAGATCGAGACCATCCTGGTCAACATGGTGAAACCCCATCTCTACTAAAAATACAAAAAGTTATCTGGGCATGTTGGCGCGTGCCTGTAATCCCAGCTACTCAGGAGGCTGAGACAGGAGAATTGCCTGAGCCCAGGAGGCGGAGGTTGCGGTGAGCCGAGATCGTGCCATTGCACTCCAGCCTGGGTAACGAGAGCGAAACTCCATCTCAAAAAAAAAAAAAAAAAATTATTTTCATTTAATGTAAACCTCATTTACGGTATATACAAATTAAAACTGAGACACATTGGCTTTGTAAATCAGTATGTTTTTACATAATGGTTTTGTTAGATTTATTTTTTCATCAGTGAAAAAACATTTCTTAAACACAAATTTCATTTCCATTTAAGCAATATGTAAGCAAAGTCCAGGTCCACTTAGTTTTTGGATATATTTAATGCTTGTCTCTGAAGTTTGTCTTCATCTGCTTTAAGATACTGTCTTTCCATGTTTTAAATGTATGATTATCTATCACATATTAGTTGTTTAATAAGAGGTACTACCCATCTAGGAAAGGAATTTTATAAAGTTAAATACAAGTCTTGAATAGTACATTCAAGGGATACTAAAAATAAATATTGCCCCTGGTGTGAGTCCGTCCTGAGCGGCTGTTCTTTTGAGCAGTCGTCGTTTATCTCCGTCCACCTTCTCTTCCACCTAAGTGCGTGTCACCACCCGATGGAAGATTCGATAGACATGGACATGAGCCCCCTGAGGACCCAGAAGTATCTTTTTGGTTGTGAACTCAAGTCCGACAAAGATGATCACTTTAAGGTGGATAACGATGAAAATGAGCACCAATTGTCTTTAAGAACGGTCAGTTTAAGGATGAGTTGCACATTGTTGAAGCAGAGGCAATGAATTACAAAGGCAGTCCAATTAAAGTAACACTGGCAACTTAGAAAATGTCTGTACAGCCAACAGTTTCCCTTGGGAGCTTTGAAATAACACCACCAGTGGTCTTACGATTGAAGTATGGTTCAGGGCCAGTGCACATCAGTGGACAGCACTTAGTAGCTGTGGAGGAAGATGCTGAGTCAGAAGATGAGGAGGAGGATGTGAAACTCTTTCAGTATGTCTGGAAAGCGGTCTGCCCCTGGAGGTGGTAGCAAGGTTCCATAGAAAGAAGTAAAACTTGCTGCTGATGAAGATGATGATGATGATGATTTTGATGATGAGGAAACTGAAGAAAAAGTGCCAGTGAAGAAATCTATATGTGATACTCCAGCCAAAAATGCACAAAAGTCAAATCAGAATGGAAACGACTCAAAACCATCATCAACACCAAGATCAAAAGGACAAGAATCCTTCAAAAAACAGGAAAAAAACTCCTAAAACACCAAAAGGCTCTAGCTCTGTAGAACACATTAAAGCAAAAATGCAAGCAAGTATAGAAAAAGGTGGTTCTCTTCCCAAGATGGAAGCCAAGTTCATCAATTATGTGAAGAATTGCTTCTGGATGACTGACCAGATCTCTGGCAGTGGAGGAAGTCTCTTTAAGAAAATAGTTTTAAAAATTTGTTAAAAATTTTCCATCTTACTTCATTTCGGTAACAGTTGATATCTGGTTGTCCTTTTTATAATGCAGAGTGAGAATTTTCCCTACCGTGTTTGATAAATGTCCAGATTCCATTGCCAAGAATGTGTTGTCCAAAATGCCTGTAGTTTTCAAAGATGGACCTCCCCCCTTTGCTTGGTTTTAAGTATGTATGGAATGTTATGATAGGACATAGTAGTAGTGGTGGTCAGACATGGAAATGGTGCAGAGACAAAAATATACATGTGAAATAAAACTCAGTATTTTAATAAAGTAAAAAAATATTGCTCCAGAAATAAATAAATAAATAAATAAACTACAAAAGAAAAAAGAGGGAAGGGACAGAAAGGTGACAGAGTCAGTTGACTTCATGCTGTCTTCACTGGGTCTGATTTAGAAAGCTGCATCTCCTCTCTATCAGAATAATGTTCTTTCCTTTAAAAAATGCATGAGTTATCATTTTGGCTAAATGAATGACATCGTAACCTAAGATTCTATTTTGTAATATCCAATGTTTTAAACCTTTGGTATTTAACAGACCTTTCAAAATCAAGCTCTAGATTACTATACTAAATGATTCAATACTAAAATTGTTTAAATACGCAATTTGAAGGAACTCCATGGTCTAAGTCAAACTACCTCTAATAACCCGTTAGTATCAGTGCTGTGCACCTAAGTTGGAGAAACACCTGGCATTCAAGAGGACAGAAGTCCAATGTCAAGCATGGACTCGTGGAGAACTAAGACAGCCGCCTTGTCCTTCCTGAGTGCTTAAAGCTTTTGTTATTAAAGATTCTGCATTCCATGACTCGTCATGAAAAAGATAAAATAATCCAAATTGAAGATATCAATGTGGTGTCTTACAAACTGTGGAAATAGTTTAAAACCAATGTGTAGTTCCATATTCCTGGTAAAGCAATCAAAGCTTCAGAAACATTTGGCTACTTGATAGTCCATTTAAACATTTATAAAGGGATTTTATTTAATTGTCTTTTTCTTTCTTTCTTTCTTTTTTTTTTTTTTTTGAGTTGGAGTTTCACTCTTGTTGCCCAGGCTGGATTGCAAGGCACACTCTCAGCTCACTGCAACCTCCACCTCCTGAATTCAAGGGATTCTCCTGCCTCAGTCTCCTAAGTAGTTGGGATTACAGCCATGTGCCACCACGCTCAGCTAAGTTTGTATTTTTAGTAGAGACAGGGTTTCTCCATGTTGGTCAGGCTGGTTTCGAACCCCTGACCTCAGGTGATCTGCCCGCCATGGCCTCCCGAAGTGCTGGGATTATAGGCATGAGCCACCGCGCCTGGCCTCAGCTATTATTTTCAATGCATATTTTCTGGGTGTATAAAATCTTTCCTATGCAAAAGTGCTGATGTTATAACAGTAGATCATTGTGCTATAGTATATTTTCACCAAGTAAAGAGAGTTTTTTATGGTTCACTGAGGACAATCCCTTCACAATCTAGAGCCTGAAGAGTGGATCTTCCTAGAACGTCAGAGAAAGACTGTCTTTGCCATCCACACTACAGCAAAACTTTGGAGGCTGGAAGCTTGGCTTCGTAATCTCACAGCTAAGAAGAGTCCTTCCACGCTCCTGGAACTACACACCCATTGGAACCCTTAAGGCAAAAACTAACCAGGAAAGTTTCTCCCCAGAAGAAGATGGCATCCTTGATGTGAACAGTTTTTCCCAAGATCACTGATCCAGACTTCTACTATCACAGGACTCTTATCTTTGAATATTTTTTTTCTTGTTTATGCCTCTATGAACAATAGAGATTAAAAGGGGGTCTATTATGTGCACTTATAGGGTAGACTTTTAATTGTGAAGGATTTTACCGCCAGCCTTAGACATGAATAACCATATACTTATAGATAAAAGATGAAGGCCTAATGTAGAGGGGAAACTTTGGTGGTACATACGTTGCCCCATAATCAGTCAAAACTCCTCATGGATCAAAGAGAACATTGCCAGGAGGCCTTCACTCTTATAGAAGGGTGTCACTTGTTAGGTCCTTTTTCCATGATTTAGAATAAGATAGGCAAGAATTAGAAATGCCACCCTCACAATAGACTCTACAGCAAATTTTACTTTAAAAGCTGTCGTTGCACAACAGACTTTAAATTCTCTTGTGAAAGCTATGCTAAATAATAGAATCGGCTCAACAGAAAGGTACCTGTGCAGCTACTGACACTTCTGGCCTATGGAGAATGACATCGAACATAGATTATAAAAATTCAGTTAAGAGATAGCATGGGGAGAAATGACAGATACAGGTGAGGGGACAGAAGACCGCAAACCACACTGCCATGTGTGTACCTATGCAGCAATCTTCCATGTTCTTCACATGTACCCCCAAACCTAAAATGCAATAAAAAATAAATAAATAAATAAATAAAATTAAAAAAAAAAAAGTCCCTTATCAGAAAAAAAAAAAAAGAGAAATACCTAAGGTAGATGACAGTTGATGGGTGCAGAAAACCACCGTGGCACGTGTATACCTGTGTAACAAACCTGCACGTTCTGCACATGGACCCGAGAACCTAAAGTATAATTTAAAAAATAAATAAAGGTGATTAAAAAAAAAATTCAGTTGTAGGGGATTAATACAAAGAGCACTTGGTCAAGCGAGTAGACTCTTCATACAGCTCATTCTTTATTTCACATGGTTTGGCTTATGGGGACCCTGGGTAAGGAGCATACTCCAAACTCTATATTGCCCTCCCAATAGCCGTAGTGACAGTCTCCCTGATGTTGTGCTGTGTTCTCTCAAAGGTTTTCAGTGTT